ATAGCCCATTTCTCAGCTACCCAAGATGGGAGCTTATTTGTGTTATCAAGTGTAGAGCTGTGGAGGAGAGGCAGGTACCTCTGTGAGTGTGGTGGGGGGCAGGGAGCACAGGTCTTTCTCTCCAGGTGCCTCAGAGGCCAAGGAAGAGGCATCATGTGCTCACGTGCTGTTTTAGGGTTTCCCCATTGCTCTTGACTGCGGAGGGGATGCACTTCGCAAAGCTGCAGCATCATCCCCTCCGTGGAGAGGGGCTGGAGAGGGCGGGGAGCACCACTGTGGGTACCCAGTGGCCCTGCAGCCTGCTTTGCTCCCTGCCCAGCACATCAAGGAGACAGGGATGAATTTAGATGCAAATCCAGCCTGCAGGGCTGTGCCCCTACTTGACAGGGTATTTTTTTTTAATTGTGCAATACTTGCCCAATGACTGATCCAATCTCCTTAACCGTGGCCATCAAGCTGCCCGTAACAGCCTCGGTGATGGCCAGGGCTTGGGGAAACTTTGTGCTGCTGTTGCATGAATTCATATTGCAATTGCCTGATCTGATTAGGTTAATTATTTCCGATCTGTATGTGCTCTCAATATGAGTGAGCAAATCAGGCTCTAGCCCTGAATTACTCCTGGCTGAATCTCTGATGCACTGATGAAAGAGACAGTCGCATGGAACACTTGCTGCACCTGTCTGTAGTCTGCTCCTGACACCTCCAGAGTTTCACAGTTAATATTACAGACAGATAAAGAACTACCAAGTAAAAACTGCCACGTATTGTTTCATCCTTTTCTGAAAAATTTCTTCTCATATTACGCCATGTCGTAAGTGTTTAGTCCTCTGTCTACTAGTTTTAAGCCAGATTTTAATCAAAATCTTTAGATATATGTGAATGGATGGGCTACTTAGCTTATGCTCTCCCTGACTTAACTATTCTTTTTCAGGATTACTTTTTATTCCCTCCTGCTACTAAACCCAAGAGCTTTTCCTCCTGGAATTTTCTAACTGCAGCAATAATCTGTATTTTAGTATTAATATCTGGTGCTGATTGTCCCATCATTCATCAATGCCATACATCCTCAGTATGAAGATATTAGTATTTTGATATGAAATTTTAATAGTTGACCGGGGGCCATCCCATTTGTTGCATTTAGCTACCAGTTTCTTTTCTTACATTTTTATTGTTGTGTCCTTTAATAAGATTTTAGGTGTTCGTGAGTATAGCTGCCTTTTTAAAGTTTAAATGTCCTATAATAAAACATTTCTCAGAGGAAAAACTATTTGGTAATAGTATTTTCAGGCTTCCCTCTGAAAGTGAATATCCTACCAAAAATGTTGGGCTCATCCCTTATCCGTCAGATTTTTCAAAGAAACCCGGGGAGTTGGGTGCCTGCACGCAGGGGATCCCCGCAGCCGCTCTGCTCCCTGACAGCCCCCATATGAGGCACGAGCATATTTTGGCCAAAGTGCTGTTTCACGTCTGAAAAAATGCCTGGACATGAGATGACAAATGATGTTTCCCTGCAGACAGACCAGTTCTAATAGCTTTTCTTAAATGATATTTTACCTGCTCCGTCTCAGCAATGGGATTCATAAATATTTTAATCATTTGTGACCCCAGAGCTAAATTCCAGGCTGAGCTATCTCCTGTGTGTGCGGTAGGGGAGATGGGCTGACCCATCGGTGCCTCCCAGCCAGGGTCTCCTCCTCACCCCGACCCCTGCACAGACCCACCGAGCGTGCCCTGCGGGGCAGCGTTTTGCATTACCCGGAGGAGCGCTGGTCACAGGCACCGGTCAGCAAACTGCACCCAGCACGACCGATGCAGGTAAATGCTGGTGCAGATTTCACCCTTGAGTGAAATCAAATTGACTATGAAGAGATATTTAAAAAAAAAATGGTGGTGGCCAAGAGGCAAATGTTCCTGGGACACAGAGCACATCACTTCTGCCATCCCAGTGCAGATGGGAGCAGCAGCAGCAGCATGCACCCCAAAAGGCATGGTGATGGAGAAACAAATGGGTAGGAAACACTCACCCTGTGATTTTATTTATCCTCCACATTCCCTACGTCCTGGAATAAACGCAGGGGTTCAGATTTATTTTTTTTTCTGGATGCTTAGCAGTATGTTAGCACGGGTAAAGCAGCTACCGGTGAGCAGGAGCTGGTTTGGCTCTGCAACCAGAGGAGTACAGTGGCCATTAGCTAACTTACAGTTGTGCAAAGCAGACTGCTTGTTGCAGCAGCACAGCTATCGATCCCTTGAGCTGGTTAAATGCCCCCCCTAAACCTGCGCTGGGTTGTGTCTCCTCTTTGCACGCCACCGTGCAGAAGACAAGAAGGTCCTTCCCCAGCGGGGCTGAGCCCGCTTGCCCGAGCAGGAGGGGCATGGACAGTGCAGGGGTGCCACTGGTTGTGGCTCGTGTTGAGAGACCAACCGCAGCGAGCACATTAGACCTGCTGCTTCTGCTAGCTTTTCCCACATTAAGTAATTGATTTCAAAGGGATGGAGCAAGAGGAAAATAGTATAAGGCTGTGGCAGCCAGTCCTGTTTTGGGCTAAGATGGAGTGGGGAGCTTCTCAGTCTCGACTCTTTGGAAAAAAACACATGTATCATGTAAGATAAAAATGACCATATTCTGGTCACAAAGAAATCAAGCTATTACCTCCCAGGGTGCAAGTTAGCAGCACCTCTCCTGCAGCTGCAGAAGAGTTCGCTGAAGAAATGAAGCCTGAGTGGCTAATGGTGTGAATGCATCTTTGGGTTTAGGTATTCCCTTGTGCCTCTGTCCCTTGGCTACGCCTGCCCACCACCGGCATGCCCACACCTGCCCCTGCCGAGTGTTGTAGGGTCATCTCTAAGGGAGCCGGGGCTCCATCACACACAAACGTTTCGCAACATAAGTCTTCTTGAATTGCAGAAAGTACTTAAAAAAAGATGGGAAAACTCTGGGAAAATACCAAAAGCGGAGTGGAGACTGTGGCTTTTGGCAGTGGCAATTATTTTAAGTGAACTGCCTGTAAAGATTTTGCAGTTTTAAGTGTTGGGTTGCATATTTTGTGCAGACAATATTGTTAATGTGTGAAACATGCTAAAAATTGACCGATAAAAGCACCTGGGTATTTCAAACATAGTGTGTATCAAAATAGATAGAGAGCAGATGGCCTGGCTCCCTGCATACCTTGCTGACCAGAATACTCAAGCAAGATATACAGCCAAAATCTTGCTGTCTTCAAAGATGATCATCTGCAATAGCAAGGATTATCCTTGTGCTACCCTTTATCTGTTAAGCACTAATGCTCCTGTATACACCAATTAGTATATCCTAGAGGGATAATGTACCCCAGGCTTGCTTGAACTTGTTAATACCCCAGCAAAGCAAATCACCTGTTCTAGAACTCAGGCTTTCAAAAGTCGGTTAGACTAAAGAAACCTGCGAGCTGAAATCTGATCTACAGTGGAAAGATCCCAAAATGCAGAGGGCTGGCTTTGCCAGCCAGCTCACAGCACTGCCTGTAGCTGATAAACATGCAACAGAGTCTGTTTCTCACTCTCATTTTTACCTTGGACGCTAAGACCAAACGTTACCATCCTGCGGATTAACTGGGATGTAAGGCTTTTCATGCCTTGTTGTATGGTTCAACAGATGTGAAAGGGAATTATCACTTCAACATGATATCAAGGATCTTTTTTTTTTTTAGCTGATGGCAGATTACTAAGCCTGAATTCTTGTTTAATTTTAGTGTGTTAATTGATGGGATAATGAGCATTGATTATATGTGTTTTGGCTGCGTCATTGCAATTACAGGCTCTGTTTTATTCATGAGCCAGTCCTAAAGAATGCACTAGAGATCTAAGACAGCTTAAACCTCTCAGAAAAAGGCTGTGAATTGTTTGAGTAATGACACTCTTAGATGGAAAATTAAAGGTTCTCTTTTCCCATGCTTTTTAAGATAATTAAAATCCAGGAACAGTAAGGTGGTGAACATCCTTATTCATTAGCCTTCAGTAATTTAGCTTCTACTAAATGAGAAAAACATTTTAATTCTCTAGGCCATCTGTTGCAGTCTCCTTTGCGTGTCCCGTTACATAAAGTCTCATCCTGGGTAGTTTTAACATCAGCGTTGTATCCTTTCACCAGGAACGATGAGCTGGGTGAGGTAGTTGAAGTCACTACCTATTAACAGACCTCCCCGGGACTAAAACAGCCGCTTGGTCTTTTAGGTCGGAGTTATCCTGTCTAGACACCTCTAGGCAAAGGATCCGCAGAAAGCAGAGCATGCACAGAGACAGGCAGCGTGACAAGCTGTGTGTTTTCTAATAGCGATACCCATGCCAATAAATAACAAAGTTCATCGGAGCCCTTCCAGTTCCTCTAATGCGCGACTGCTCTGCCATATGGCTCCGTGCTGCTTTTGGAAGCAGGCAGTATCCGTTTGGGTAGAAACCGAAGCAGAGGCTCCGTGCTGGATGCTGCTCTGCAAGCAGTTCAGAAGAAGAACGGGTCTCTATGCGCAGTGCCAGGGGAACAAATATTAGAGCAGGAGCGTGCTCACCTAGGATAAATGCTGGGTCAGGAATTGGGAAACACTTGGTTTCTGACTCTGTCTATAGGAAAACTCACTTTATAGCTTGGGGCAAGTTACATTAGCGCACGCTAGAAACGCATTCCATTAAAATGATAATGTGTGTAGCTGAATGGATTCAGTGTCTTAGTTATTCCTGAAGCGAAGTTACATCCCTACAGATCTAAGAGGATTCAGGCTCCATTAGTTTGGTTTGTTTCTGTCAAATTCTCAAAACAAAAGCCACGCTACTTGCCAACCCAGCAGTGCTGCCTTACAAGGGCTGCTTTAGACCGATGTATTTAGCTGACTCCGTGATCACCAGGTAGCATTTACATTATTGATAGGGCATGGCTGCAAGCAGGCTGCTTTCACAGGGCAGAGCTTGAATTCACCTGTTTGCTATTACTCGAGTTGCTTAGAGATCACAAACACCCCGGCCTCGAGATGTGTGGCTGTAGAGCAAGCGTTCCCGGCACGAAGCAGTACTCGGTCAATCAGCCAGCTCCTGCTTCCACCAAAAAAAGCCCTTCGGCTGCAGCAGGCATGCCCAAGCGGTAAGTCATCGCTTTGTTCTTTGCGTCTCTGGTGAGCTGCCATTTGTCTTGAAGTTCATTATCTGGATGTATTTGTCTCTATCACAAGCAAACTCTTCCGCTGTGCGTTGGCTGCTCTGTAATTAGTTTCCAGCACTTTAGCAAAAGTAAGCAGGCTTTAAGTTTTAACAGAAAGCAGGGAGGCACTTCTCACAGATGTGAGTCCTGCTGGAAATAAATCTATGTGTCTGCTCCAAACTGGGAGCACTGGTGAGTGGGGGACGACACTCTGCACTTCCCTGGGGATGGGCTTAAAACTGAGAAACTTCCCGGAGCTCTTTCATGTTCTGAAGAAATTACTTGAAGGATGTTGCAATGCCCCTGTCTTAAAATTATTTAATGAGCACCCTTAATAACAACTCCAGGCTACTTGCTTAGGTGAAGAATTAGGAGCTGTGTGATGTTGTGTGCTGCTTGTAAAGGCCATTTTCCTTTCCCCTGTGAAGGAAAGCCAGTCTCCCTTGGGAAGCCCTGAGTTCCTGGGGGATTAAATGAAACAGAAATGAGCAAACTCGCTCACAGAGAAACTATGTATACACACACAATTCACCAGGTGGTAACTGTGCCTCTCTTCTCTCTCCCTACCAGCATACCTATAGCCAAGCAGCTGGCATCAATAAAAGGTAAGGGGACCCATTCGTTGCCCCTTGGGGGTTCAGGTCTTCCGTGGCCACAGCCCAAGTGCAGTAAATCCCGGTGATTTAACAGAGCTGCACCCTTGGCTGGTGCAAGACGAGAGGGTCTCGTGGGTCCCTGTGCAATGTGCTCCTGTGTTGATCTGCATCTCCTCTTCTGCTTGCCTTTCCATTAAAAATCACAACCCAAATAATCTGTGGTATCTGATGCTAGCTGAGGGCTGTCAGTGTGCAGTCTTTAGGATGCAGCTCAGGAGTGGAGGGAATGTATCCAGCCAAAATCCCAAGTATACTGTAAGGCTGAAGCGTGATGCTGATGCTCAAACAGAGGCATTTCTGTTCAGCCAGATTTCCCAAATGGGCCATGTTTTCCCTGATACAGGTTCCTGGGAGTCCAAATGCGCCCAGGAGATGGCCAGCACAGCCTGTCCCCATGGCATGGCAAGTCCTTGCTGGATGCCCAGGGTGGGGGTAGACCAGATGGGTCTCACGTGTCACCCTGCACTACTGCCCCAGCTCTGATCAAAAGCTTCTTTTTGGGGTGTTTCCATGGGACGTGAGGCATGTTGCTGGCCCACTCCAAATAAAATCTGGGCCAGGTCCTCTGTGGGTATAAACAGTTTCAGTCTCATTAACTTTAATGAAACTACACAGATTTCCACCCACTCAGGTTGGTTCTGACAGATTCCTTTCAATTATATCTCAATTGCCACTTTTTCTGATAAACTGATAACTTTTCCCCCCCCTTGCTAGCTCTAGGAAAAGGCTCAGACCTTGAAAAAACTTTTGCTACTGCGGCTTTGGTGTATAACAACTCTGCTGACCCCGAGGGCAAGCTCAGCAAAGCTGAAACCAAAAGCTTGCTGCAAACCCAATTTCGGGGTTTCATACAGGTGAGGGGGTTTGGGTGGGTGGGTGGCGCTGGGCCGGCACTGGCCGGGCACTTTGGGTGCAGGAATGGCACCTCAGGCTCTGTCCTGCAGCTGGGCAGGCATCAGTCCATGGGGTAATCCCAAGTGAGAGTGTAGTGATTTGGTATAAACATCTTCAGTGAACTAGTTGCTTTATGTTGAGCCTGTGTCTAACACAGGGCTAAAGGAGGGGGGACAGCAATAAATCACGGTTGACATGCCTGCTTGCATTTTTTTAAAGAAAATGGGGCAACTGCAAAAAAACCCAAACAAACAAAAAAAACCCCTCAGACAATGACAGAGACTGTATTTATGAAGAGAAGAAAGCCACTGCATTTAATGAGGCGTTTGGTAGTTTGCCAGAGCACCGACCCAGTACCAGGGGAGCCAGCCCCGTGCTGCAGAGCCGCATGCGCTGCGGTCACTGGTGGGGCTGCTGGGAGAAAGGGAGCAGAAAGCACCTCTCCGTTGGTCACCACCCGGGGTCTCGGTGGCAGCTGGGTATAGGGAAAAACACCTATATTGGCACCTGTGGCTGTAAACTTCTTGCAGATTCCGTGTGCCCCACCCCCAATAAAACAAAACAAAACAGTTTTATCAAGTGGTAGAAAAAAATATGTAGGACTAGTAAAAAGAGCTCAACTAAATAAATGAGAGAGATGTTTAGGAGTAAAGACATTCTTGACGATACCTTTGCTTCCAAGAATAACAAAATCATATGACTGGTTGAGGAGGGGGAATTGATACCAGATTAGAAACTAGGCACCTTATGGAAAAGGACTTGAAAATATCAATAGCCAATCAAATTTGGTATCGTGAGATGTTTTGAAGATTATTAAGCTAAAAGAATATCCTGGAACTCTTTTTTTTTTCCCCATAAGGAAATATGAATAACAGACATGATACATGATTTTAATAACCCCTTCCATTCCAACAGTAATGTCCAACAGGACAGAGAATAGCAGCTACTGACGTTATGTCTGTAAAATCAACAGTTTCTGAGACCTTCACAGTATATATTTGAAGACCTGTCTTGAATATTAAGGTTAGGAGGGTTGATTGGTTGTTTCCTCTCCCCGATTTTATCAAGACACAGGACTCCATTTTTTTTCCAGCAGTTACCAACTACATCATCATCACTGCCAGATTTTCAGTCATGACTAGGTGTCTTTTAAAAGATGTATTCTGGATTCACGTGGAAACTTTGGGGACTGGTTGTTCTGTCTGATTGCTATAATATTTCTGTTTGAGTTTCTTGGGATACCTTTAGAAAAGCTAATATGCATGTGAACATAAAAACCTGAATGGGAAGATAGAAAAATACATGAATTTTTACATAGGCGTCTTTCTCTCTTCCTTTCTTTTTTTTTTAATGATGCTATAAAAAAGGAACCTCATGCTTAATCTCCCCCCCCCCCATTTAAAATTCTCCATAGGGCCAAGAAAACAAACCAAAATACCAGGAAATAATTTCTGCCCTGGATGAGGAGTCGGAGAACAAAATTGATTTTGAAGATTTCATGATCTTGCTAGTCAGTCTCACTCTGATGTCTGACCTACTGCAGGAGATCAAAAATGTGAAAACCACAAAATGATCGGTGCTTTAAAAGAAGAAATGGCTTGGCAGTTTATAAGGAAAGCAGGAGTGAACCACACACAGAGATAACACCGAGTGCCTGGATACGCTGTGCTGGTCCCTTTTAAATAGAATAAAGTCTTGTCCAAACCTGGCTGAACTCACTCCTCTGTAGAAATGGTCCGTGTAGTGAAATGTTGGTGCTCAGGGCTCTGTCTGCTACGTACGTGCTTTGGGAGGGTGTGCTGACTGGCTCTCGGTGGGTCCCAAGGCCCCAACACCAGCTAGCAGCTGGGTGCAGCCCCCAGCCCAGCTTAATTCCAGGGAAAGGCAGCCCATGCTCTCCCAGACCTCTCCGCCATCTCCCACACCGTTGTGGGGAGATGATGGGGAGATTACTGCAAAAATGTGCAGCCCCATCTCCCTTCGGGGCAGCAGCATGCGTGGCATGGCCGGTCAGCTCCCCAGGGCTCTCCCAGTTACCCCAGGGTGCATCAGCCCTGAGCAGAGTGATCCCAGTGATGGGTGTCACAATTGGCAGCGACCGCAAAACCTGTTGCAGCCTTCGGTAACCATTGACTTTAGCCTGTGTGGTTTCCAACGACCATTAACCCTTCTGAAAGGAGCATTTATTTATTTTTATTTCCTCCTCTAGCTGACCTCTTCATTGAGTGATCACTATGGAAGGAATTTCAAGTCCAGCATTTGCAATGCATCTTTGGCAGTGCTGTGCTTGTGTGACCAAAGGAGTGACTTAGTTAAACACGTCAGCCAGCTGAGCCCGTTGTTTCATGAAACTGTGAAGAGGAGAAACCAGATAAGCGAAGAGGTGGTCCAGACTAGGGATGGTGGGGAAAAAGGGTGGCCAATAAAGTGTTTGTATTGGAGCTGACCACGGGCTTGGTTAGGGCCAGAGCCTCAGTATTAAATGCTCATCATCCTAATCTTTGTTTTGACTCCTACCTATCAGATCCTGGCTCAGAGCCAACATTTAGCCCACTGTGACATCCCTTTGGGGCACAAAAAGCAGTCGCACACCCCAGGAACAGAATATCCTCTCTGTAAGAGTTCAACAAGCCTCTACCAAGGCAGTAAAGATGAGCAAGCCAGCAAAACATTGCAACCCTTTTCATTTTCTCTTCTTCCTTGTCTGGAAAGGAGAAGACAAGAATGGTTTAGCTTTAGTGCATAATTTTTTAAACAGGAAGGGATCAAAACCTTTGGTGTTAAAAGAGGGAGACGAATGCCAGCTGAGTAATGAGATTTAACTCCTTGACATAAAAAGGCTCTTAGTGTTTCCAGAAGCTAAGAGGATGTTTTGTAATGGATTTTGGTCCAAGGAAAGACACATTGCAGTAGGAGGCCAGCAGCTAGTTGTTTTGAGAGGGAAGGTCTGTGTCTTTGTGCGGTATGGGACGGAGCTGAAAGAAGAAATGCAAATGGATGCGGTGGGTTTTGAAATGAAGCTCAGCAGGTAAGGTGCTGCTCTGTGAGGTTTGAACCTCAGTCAGGACATGGCCTGGTCTGGAGGCTAAACGTTCACAAATGATCTTCCTACAAATAAAAACTCCTAGTAGCCGAGTCCCTTGCTCTGATGGTGGGTTGCAACAATAGGCAGTATCAAACCTGCGGCGAGAAGTGACAAAACCAGCAAGCAGCCGTTTCTGTCTGTTAGCTTGCTCGTGGAGATGTCCCTCCCGTACACCTCCCACTGAGAGACTGGTGGCCCCGTGCTGTGAGGGCGACTGCCCCCTGCACGTCAAATCTCCCACAGATGGGATATGGGAGCGCAGGGATGGATGAGGAGGGCAAACTTCTCTTGGAGACCATCCCTTCTGGGCTTGTGTCCTCTGAGGAAGCAGACCTTGACCAAGCACTCTGGATCAAAATGAGGACTTAATCTGGTAGCCTCATCCATGTGGGTATCACAGCTTCATATTGATAATGTGTCCCTAGTGTTGCTCAGTCTTTTCCCCCATCCCCTTGGTTTTTGGCCAGGTAGAAGATCTGTAAAAGCTTAAAAAATCACCTGATGCTCCTTTCCTGGGGTAGAAAGATGGATTGAATGTGAGAGTCCCTAGAAGGCTTTGCCGTTACTAAAGCAAACAAAACACAGCACAGCCCTGAAAAGCTTGTTTGGGAGCCACCGGTGACTCTGAAAGCATAGATTTCCTAATATCCCTCTGTTACAACATAAAGCCGAAAGGAACAATATTGTGAAGCCAATTCAGAAAGAGTTCTTTGAAATTGCTAAGGCCTTAACACAGTTTCTGTTATTGCTGAAATGTTTCTTAATCTTGCATGTCTTGAATTAATGACTTAAGAGCCTTTTATCAGATCAATTCGCTCTGTCACCTCATCGTATGCAAGCCCTTTTTATTCTGATGCAGTGTGTTGTGAGCTAGCATCCCAAGTCCCTGGCTTCGATCAAAAGCCCCTTGGGCTAAGCACAGTGAAAATCCAAAGTAAGAAGCAATTCCTGAACAACTCAATAGCAAAGACATTCAAATGGTAGGGAAGGAATCAGAGGCACAGAAAAACCAAGTGCCTTGCTCAGCGCATGTAACAGAGCCGGAACTGGACGCCAGTCTACACTGGGCTTCTTGCACAGAAGACCGTGGCTTTCCAAGAGGCACTGTGATGGTTTCTGCAAGAGCTTCTGAACAAAATGAATGGGATGTGCAAGGCTTGATCTGCATCAGTCCTTGAAAGTCCTGCCTGGTGCTCAGAAGCAGAAGGACACACTTGGAAGAGCCCCAGCAACTTCTTATAGTTAGGATTAGGCAGAAGTTTGCAGCTTGGCTGTGGAAGATGCTCTTTTATTAGCTCAGACTATTTGCGGCTGCCCTGAGCACTCTCAGCTAACGTCTTTGAAGCTGATATGGCGTAGACAGCATGTCTGGCTGCATCCTCGGGGGGCTGGTTAAAAGCTTGCTTAAAAGGCTGCTGTTGTGCTTTATTTTGTTCCTAGCTTGCTCCTATTGGAAGCGATGGGAGTTCATCATCGATTTCTCATAGCAGAGCCCACACAAGTGCTAAGGAGTTGAACAGGCAGCTAAATTGATGAAATCTGCAGGCTACTCTGCCTCTCCAAGTGTGAACATCATATTAATATCTGATACCCCCTAGAAGTGAAGGCAGCATGAAGAGCAGCTAGTCAAAACCTGACCTCTGTGGGCTTGGGGTTAGGTTGGGATTTGTGGAGCTACACTGTCCAGGTGTGAACAGCCACCCTGGGAAGCTCTGCAGACCTAAGTTTAAAGTTCTGTTCTGAAAAGTCTGAGTCATCTCTGCAGTTACATGAGCTTTCAAATGGCTGTCAGAGGAGAAATGGGCATCAGGGAGAGCTTCAGCTTCAGATCTTCAGCTTCCATGTCAAAATATCAGCTCAGGAAGGCAGGTTCATTCTCATACTTCAATTAGCACACCTCCAGCTTCTTTCTGTGACTTCTTACTTCCTATCTGGCCTTAACTCTATGGCTTGCTGGACTTGGAACGTTTTGAAAATCTGGCTTTAGTCCAATCTCTAAGGTGCTCTCCCAGATCGCAGGGGAGCTCTCGTGTCCAGTCCACTGACTTTCAGGGGGTGAGTCATGGCAGAGTTTTGCATGTTGAGCTTTCTGCTGGGAGCTTAGGGCCACACGCACTGTGCGTGCAATTTTGCATAAATCTTTCAGGAAAGAGAAGTACGCTCCCCAACTGTCTTGCTGTTATTGCACCTTCAGTAAGACCTCCTGTCTGGGGCACTGGAGCCTGGATGCTGAGGAAACCTTGCAGCCTGAGAGACATTTTGCCTGTCTCCTCCTGCCTCAAAGTAAGTGTTGTGTTACTTTTTCATGTAAAATAAAACTTGCCTTGGTTGCACACACTTTGCAAGTATGTGTGTGATGCATACCCCCACCTCGGTACTTCCATGTGTCGTGGCCCACAAAAGCTTCTCAGCAGCTGCTTCCTACATCCACCCAAGTAGTTATTACAGCAGGTCACTTTGCAGAGAGGTATGCAGAGAGGTAGAGGTTTGCATCATAGCCCGCCAAGGTAGCAGTTAAATTGTGTCTACATGGTAGGAAAACCTTCTTCAGGAGTATTGGAATGACTCAGAAAGATGCTGTGATGTGGTGCATCCCCTTAGGAGCTCAGCACAGAGCAGATGAAAAGCTTTGTCCCAGAATTATGTCCTCTCCAAAGTGTCATAGTTTGTGAGCCACAAAGGAGCACTCTGAAACACCTCCTGGAAAAAGAAAATGTCTTTGTTTCAAGCTCAGTCAAGGAAGCTAGATAAAGAAGAGATGGTGGTTTTATGGCTTTATGAACTGACAGCTTTTAATTCCTGCATTGACTTTTACTGCAGTCAGTGGTTTACAAGGTTTCCAGTGAAGCTGTGTCTTCTCTCCTCGCTTTGTTCATCTGCTGTTCCCTTACCCAGCAAGTGTTTATAGCCCTAGTTCTGAGTCGTCCTCCAGCAAAGGTAAACAGCAAATGATGTTCAGCAGCCAGATATATCAGGCTGTCTCTCTAATCCCCAACCACACAAAACAGCCATTAGAGTTAGATTCAGAGCCACGGAACTTATCTTTTATTCATTGTTATTGTAGGAGTGAGTTTATGCTATGCATAGCCGTAACGAGAGTCAGTCCCAGCATCCAGCACATACAGAGGAGCTGAAACCGTGATCCCCCAAACTGAACATAAAGAAACTCATGGGATCCACCCAAGCCCAGCGCCAGGTGTCTGTAGCAGAGGCTGGTTGTGCATATCTGGTGTAGTGCCTCGATCATCATTCCTCCCATTCAAAGGTCCCAAAAAGGCCAACTTGGAAAGGATCTCCTGCGCAGAGAATCACAGGTGGTGCTTGGTTCCTCTGGGCCAAAACACAAACTGGATTTCATAGCGAATGAGCATGTAATGGATTGCCAAAGAGCCACTGAGTCTCAAACAGGACCTGGAGTACCGAGGGCCTCTGGGCAGGCAGGGACCCCCGCTGCCTGAGCTGTCCCCCCAGGTGATGGCTTTTCATGC